CTCACCTACCTCTTGGTGGTGGTGCTGAGCGCCGAGGTCTTCCTGCCGGTGTTCTACAGACTGGGGATCACTAGCACCTATGAGGTGAGGGGTCCGACCTCGGAGCTCGGGCAGGGTGGGGCCCTGTGTGCACCTGACACCTTTGATTTCCCCGTCCAGCCGAAGGGATTTTTAACTTTCCGAGCCCGAGCGGGAGGGAGTCTGCATCATGCCAGCCTGGGCTCCTCCTTTCCGAAAGCAAGATCCTTGCTCGGGGTCCCCAGCAGCACCCACGTTCCAGGGAAACGGACGGAGGCTCCACACCACCCCTTCTTCCTCTGAAGGTTAGGTGCCCAGAGGCTACGTTGCAGGCTTCCTGTCCTAGCACCTGCACGGAGGCCGGAGTCTGCCGTTTACTCCCTGGGCGACGTGGCACCTGTTTCCTAGTACTGCCCACCTCACTGGGTCCTCGGGGAGCACTAAATGAGCAGGTGCAAGGTGTCACCTTTGGAATAGTGTTGAACGCACACCGGTGTGTTGGACAAGGGCTGCCCACGCTTCTTTTGGTGATGGTAGAGGTTGTCCTGTGGTTATCTTGTGGTTGTGGGAGCCTCAAACAGCTCTGCCATTTCTCTGTGGGAAGGCGATTGGGAAAACCATGCCTCTTCTACTGCACATGTCCCCTGGGTGTCGTTTTCTTGCAGGAAAGGGCTCTGTACAGACGGTGGCCCCGGGTTTCTTTTACAGAGCCATTAGGTGGGAGGGGAGGGTGTAAAGCTCCTTTCCTGGAGCCCTGGCCCCCACTCTTCACGCTTGGGGTGCCCCAGTCTCCTCCACAGGCCGTGGTCCTGTGTGCCAGATGTCTCCTCTCGGCCGGCTCTCTCTGGCCCCCAGTTTGTCTGAAGTCTTTTCCTCCACCAGGGCCAGGGCCACTGGCAGGTGGCTTCCTAGTGAAGCTGGTTCAGCTGGAGCAGGGACAGTCACATGCCAAACCTTGGTGACGGATCCGGCTTGGGCTGTAGTGAGGGCCCGTGGGGTGAGGCAGCCCAGGGCAGCCCCGCTTCCTTTCCCTCTGGTCCCTGTGCCCCGCAGAGCTCAGCCATCACCCCAGAAGTGAGCAGGGGGCATTTCTGCTGCATTTCGAGGTGACAGATTGGTTGCCCTAAGCCAAAATCATCACTCAGCTCTGTTTTTTAAAAAATATTATAGTGCTTAAAGAATAATTAATTTAGCATTTAACAATGAGGAATAAAGAACAACGAGCACATAAAATTCCAGATTCTGACTTTTTTTTTAACTCAGAAAATTGGCGACATTGGGCCACATTCTCTGCGACCGCAGGGCCCCCCAGGTGCAGCAGCTGCTCCCACTCTGGTCCTCTGTTGTGTGCGCGGCTACTTTCTCATGGTGCGGAAATCCTTCTCTCCATTTATGTCGCTACGAAAAAACGCATCAGGGAAAAATGCACCACTGTGGTGGGAGCTCTCGTTTCAAAGGAGAGGAAAGAGAGCCTGTTTCTCGTCGGGCGTGAGGCTGTTCCAGCTCTGTGCTGTATGCACACACCTAGCCCGTGTCACTCGAGTGTGCCACCCTCTGTACTTAGCCAGCTCTGAAGCTTGGACAGGGTCTGAGTGATCTGGAAGAGGCTCCCATTCCCCAGAGAGAATGGTTCTCTCCAGGCGCTGGCCGGCGCCTCCTTGGGCTGCAGCTTTAGCTCAGAAACAGACAGCTCTCTCACGTGTTTCTAGTGACACAGCTAAGTTAGCAGGATTCCAGCTGACAGAGGCAAAAGCTATCCTGCACGGAAAGCTGGGACTCTGAACTATGCGCTTAACATACATTACCTGACTCAGTGCTCAAAAGAGTCCTTACAAGGGAGCTTCCCGGAGAGGCTCAGCTTGCAGGGGAAGAGACTCAGAATGAGTTAGGACGGTGAGAGAGCTGGAAGCAAGGTGGACACTTGGCAGCATACTGGCTGCTCCAGAAGGCCCTGGTGAGTCTGAACAATCCCCGGCTGGGCTTAACACCCATGCCCTGAGAACCAGGGAAGAAATACAGGATCCAGGAACTAGGGAGCAGTGTCTCAAACCAGGGGTGTCGGGCAATCAGAGACAGGCAAGGTGGGAACATGCTATGCCCCTTCAAGTGGTCATGGCAAAGCCTTCCTTGTAAAATTCCTTGTGAGTTTATGCTGCGGGGTAGAACCATCTATATGGAACAAGAAGTCTAACATTCTTGCTCAAATATAAAATCTCTCCCTATTGACATTTTACAGCTCAAGCTGGTGAGCCACAGGCATCTTAAATATCTATTTATCTCTGCCTTTGACGTGTAGGTTTGATAGGTGTTCAGCAGTTCCCAGACCCACAGACCGGCAGAAAGTATACACAGGGACTCAATTTAATTCACTGCCACTAGAGGATCTTTTCGGATCCAGCTGCATCTGTGTGTGTGAGCTGAGTGTCTTGGGGTCTTTTTATTTTTAACTCTTTTATTTATTTTATCCACAGAAGTTGAAGGGTCCCTGAATTATTCCAAGTTCTGAGGACTACGACTGGTCTTGAGTGACCGTAGGTGTTATAGTTACTCTGCAGTTTTGCCTGGGCATCCTAGAACTACTTTTTAAAGCTTAGTACTCATTGACTTGGACTTCTAACTCAGTCTGCAGGTTGTTTCCTCTGTAGCTTAAAGGACCATGGAGAGCTGAGAGAGTGATGGGTTTCTTGGTTATATCTTGGGTTGGTCTTGTGTGTTCCTGAACACATCACTTTTCCAGATCAGCTCTTCTTGGGAAACACACACACATATGACATATAAATGCCTTCTAATTTACTTGGTTCACGTATCTGCATTCTTACCTCGGTCACATTCTGCTCTTGTTTTCTTTAGTCTCCAGCAGGCAGAGGACCTTTCTGTTCATGTCCATTCATGTGTAAGAGAGGCTTGCTTAAAGAATCCTGCAGAAATAACACTGCCCTGTGTCCAAGGCTCAGAAACTTCTCCAGTCTTCTAAAATGCCTTCCAAAATGCCCTTAGGTGATTTTGATTCCAGGAATTCACCAGACTCATGGATTTAGATTCCACTGTTGTTGTTTTGTTTTGTTTTATTTTTGTGGAATACTTTACTTCTGAATGAAAAATCTACAACATCATTTCCATCAGCTTTTATCACTGGAGGATCTACAAAACCCTGCAAAAGGAGAGACAAGAACTGTTATCATGATCCTTCTTTTCAAGAGAAAGAGTGAATGGGGGATTTGGAGATTGTTCACTTCAAGCTCAGGAGTCTGGAGGGGATGGAGTCATGGGCTGGTACTGCTTGGAGCCTGCACTGTGTTGAATATTTGTCACCATTAGCTATTTTGGAGGCTCTGTTAGGTGTCAGTGTCACCAGCTCCTAATTGATTCTGGGCACATGGATTGTTGGATTGTCTGCTTATTCATGTGGGTATGTGCACGGCTTTGGGCGCCAACGTTTCTAAATTGGTGTCATGGTCCTGCCAGTGTTCAGATCGAGCTTGGTGTCCTTTCTGATGAAAGGGGGCCCCATCGCTGACTGGGCTTCTACAGAGCCTCTGCCTCCTGGGTTATTGGGAGGACACCGTGCCTAGCAAGAACTCTGGGTGTGTTTGCTCTAACTCTGGAGAAAATTATCAGGCTTCTTTTCCTCCAATTATTACCCAATGCCAGGGTTTCATTCTTCTATTTCCTGAAATATTATAACAAGACTGTTGTGCAGCCATTATATGCAAATTTAAAAACATCTTGCATTTCTCTGAAATTCTGATTGGAACCCTGCACTATGTTATGGCACACTGCATAGTGTAGAAAATAAGCAAGCCATGTTGGAAGATTTTAGGGAGACATGGCAAGAGGGTTGGCTCTGAACAGAAACTGACTTGGGATTTATGTTTTAAAAAATTATTCATGTACATGTGAAAGCCGTGAGCATAGCGCAGAGAACGGGTCTGAGATCTGAGCGAGCAGGTCTTCGAAGAGCTTCTCTAGCCCCCAATGGCTTTCTGCCTTTGCGCCTTGCAGCCCACTGGGTAGAAAAGCTGATTGGCTGCGCCCGGTCATGTGATTTCTTCTTGCCGACAAACCCGTCACAACTTCCGGGATTTAGAAAGGGTGAGTTTCCCGCGTGAATCCCAGGAACTGTACAGAGCGGCCACTCAGAAGGGAGAGCGACAGATACTTACTCTATAGTATATAAATATTCCGCTTAGGGGACGATTTTCCAATCTTTCCAGGTCAGGCTGGGGATACAGAAGAGATTAGTGATTGGTGAGCTTTGAGGTGAGAAGGAAGCCTCACTAAAAGGTGCAGCATCGGTGTTTGGGCAACAGAGCTGCTTCGCGCCCCGGTGGAGAAGGCTCACACAGATCTGTATGTGGGTTGGAATCCACTGACTTGCGCTCCAAATCGAGCAAATCGAGCCAACTCTGCTGTATTTAGATAAAACAAGAGTAAACATAGCGGGCCCAAGTGGGTGGTGAAGTTGCATTACATCTCTAACCCATTCTTTCCTAGGCTACTGACGAACACAGAAATGTTCGGGGGATTCACATCACAACTCTTTCTCCTTTCTTTTGCCACAGTATTTAGAACTTCGGTTTAACAGATACATCCGCCTCTGCGGGACAGTGCTGTTTATTGTTCAAACCGTAAGTAGCTCCCGGATGGTTTATTCTTCCTCTCGTCGCTAAAATATTTTAGTCCATGGCATCTGGGTGAACCTTCCTTGGAAACCACATGAACAATGAAAAAGAGGCTGAAAGTGTGAGGAAATGAAACCGAAAAGATTTGTTGTTACCGGTTAGGGTGTTAGTTAACCCAAACGGTGTTTCAGCAAAAGCTTCACTTCCTGGAAAAATAGAAGACTTAAGTGAGTTTAACTATTTTATCGATCAAGCTAGAGGTATGTTGCTTTCCCCAGCCGCACCTGGACCAAGGTGACCGTTAAGTCCGCTCTAATGCCTTTAATAATAATAATGTTACCTAATAGGTGACAAATGGATTCAAGGGAGCTGTAGTAGTGACAGTAAGAATCTAAGAAAGGGAGAACAAGCTGTATATTTCACTTTTTAAATTTTTTTTTTTGAGTAATAGATGTGAACAATCTGACAGGAAGACATTAGGAAACAGGTTTTTTTTTTTTGGTACTGGGGATTGAACCTGGGACCTTGTACTTTCGAGGCAGGTGGCGGAACCACTGAGCTAATTCCTGGCCCAATGTGTTTTTAAATCATGATATGTTTTTATGGAGTAACTTTAGAATTAGCCTGCAATGTATTCGAAGATAAAGCAGTGAAAATGGTATTTTGAAATAAATTTTAAAAGAGAAAATGACATTTTGAGAAAAAGACTATCTTACTGTTATACCCATTCATATTTATTCATTATATGGGTGAAAAAATAATAAATAATATAAAAAGGTGAATTATAGTTCATGTTCACTTTCAGGCTTTTGAAAGTGCAAATTCACACTTCTGTTTTGTCTCATAGGCACACAAACATTCAAAAACAAGATTTAAAAATTTTACTTTAAAAATTATTGGTGATCAGCAGTACTTTGAAGTCATCAATAAGGGGCCATCCTCTTCTAAATTTATATTTCTTTGTTTTTATATGTTTCAAATCTAGGAAAGTTAATTTCAGGCTTGAGTGGGTGAATCATTGACCATTTGCACTAATTGTCACATTAACAATCCAGAACTGTACAAAAAGTTGGTCATAAAAGATTTTTGTAACTTGTGACCACAGTATAAATAAGAATTAATTTTACTTAGCATTCTCAAGTTATAATTTTATTAAATACACTGAAACTACTGACAAATTATAATTGGTTTTGCAGGAAAATCAATATTTTATAATTTATTCACAACATTCATGAAATTTATAATTCATAGAATTCCTTTTGTTTTCTTTTTTGCCTTAGATTCTGTATACTGGAATTGTTATTTATGCCCCTGCACTGGCTTTGAATCAAGGTATATTTTATTTTATCTTATTTCTGTCTGTTTTATTAGTACATGTTTATGATACATGGGAAAGACATTCACCATGGGTAAGGGGGACATACACATATTACATCTTGATCTTTTTTTATTCCCTCTTCCCCTCTCTCCCTCTCTTCCCCTCAGATCTTGTTCCTTTCTCTGCATAGTCTACCTTGTTGTTTCCTATTAGCTTCTTTTACTTTGCTCTTTATGTATATTTTGAGTTTCTTATATAAAAGGTCATATAATTTTAGCCTTCTGTGTTTGATTTATTTCACAGCATTATGATCTCAAGGTGCACCCATTTTCCTATAGGTGACTCAGTTTCCTTCTTTATGGCTGAGTAGTACTCCACTGTGTATGAACACCACATTTTCTTTATCCAGTCATCTGTTGATGGACATATAAGCCACTTCCATGATTTAGCTATTCAGGACTTTTAAATAAATTTTTGGTACCGGGGATCGAACTCGGTACCTTGCACTTTGCGAGGCAGGCGGTAGTATTAAAGTACATTTTTAAAGTGGCAAATCATGTGACTCAGTTTGGGGTTCAGTTTCAGTAATCCTTACTCTCTCAGTGGGCAGAGAGAGATGGAGGGGTGCGGCCAGTCAGCCCTCTCAGGGTTAGGGGGGTGAGGTGCCTTCAGGGTCTACCCTGGCGCCTTTGGGTTTCCACATGGAGAGCTGCCAAGTGTCTTCAGGCTTCCAAAGGGCGGACTCCCTGGGTCCGTGTCTTGCGGCTGTGCTGCCCAGGGTTCTCCAGTGCTGGGGGACAGACGCCCTCTCTTTTGTGTCTATTGCCTGGAGTCTGTCCCCGGGGACTTGGGGCCACTGAGAAATCTGGCAGGGAGAGCAGCCCTTTTCTCCCCAATCACATGGGCTCCAGAGACAGAGAAGAGCCAGGAGACGGGTCTGCAAGGCCGGCTACTTCTGGAGAGTTCTAGTGTGGCTAGGGTGCTGATCTGGGTTTCCTGTGACGGCAGCAGCCAGGCTGGGCCCATTTTACTGAGGCAGAGGTTCATGCTGGTCCTGCCTTCTGAGGGTTTCAGGAAACCTCGGGAATCCTTGAATTTTATCAGTCGAAAGTGAGTTTATCTTTCAAACTTCCTTGTAAATTGGACAAGTGGAGTCTGCTGGGAAAGAAGTGGCACAGTTCCCGGAGTTGATATGGGAGAGAGGAAACCTGCCCCCCTCCCCTGCGCCCTGTTTTCCTGGTTTTATAACACATGCGTTAGTTACTTTCACCATTCACAAAGCAGGACTGGATCATCGCAAAGGAGAGCTTGATAGAAAGTGCTCTTACCTGAGAGCCAGGTGTGTGCTGGCCCCGCGGGCAGCACCAGGAGCAGCTCCTTTGCTGGGTCAGGACCGAGCTAGCTGTGAACGCCACAGGTTGCCTGTTTCTCTTAAGCACAGTTGAAGACATTAGCGTTTTAAAGTGCACCGACTTTAACCTGGGAAGAAATCAAAGGTTCTTTTCTCCTTAGACTCAAAGTGCTGTGCAGGAGTGACGAGGATCCGTAATTAGTGACTGTGACCCCTGGAATGCCACTCGTGTACGGGCTGCGCCAGAGCCGGCGGGCACAGGCCCGGGCACCGTGTTTGGGGCAACAGATGCTAAACAGGCACTTGTTTAACTCGACTGGAACTTAGTCTTCTCTAGGCTCGATCTGTTTTTAACTTTCTTCTTCTGTTATAGGAAACTTCTCTAAAATGGAGAATAGACTCTGAGTCCTAACGTATCCAACACCCTGCAGTAATAATTTTCCACTTATGGTCAATTTCAGCTCGCTCCTGACTTCCTCCAAAAGATCGTTTTGCTGTAAATTTGAATGTCCTGTTACTTCATCTGCTTCTCAGTATGTTCTGAGCCTTTATATAAATGGAAGCGGAGAGAGCTTTTTTTGTATCGGGTTTCTTTGGTTAACAAAATGTTTTTGAGTTGCATTCATTTCGTAACATGTATCAGTAATTCTTTCCCTTCAGTGCTAGGAGAATTTCTTTATTTTATTGTATTTTTGGTACTGGGGAGTGAACTCGGGTCCTTGTGCTTGCGAGGTGGGCGACAGCATTGGGCGATTTTGTTGTACACATTTCTCAAACTCTCTTTAGAGCCTCTTGTCCAAAGACATCGGATTGTTCCCAGTTTTAGGGTATTCTGAATTAAGGCTGCTAAGAACACCCTGCTGTATGGGCCAGGGATTTAGCTCAGTGGTTCCACTGCCTGTCTCACAAGTGCAAGGTCCCTAGTTCAATCCCCGGTACCAAAAAAAAAAAAAAAGAACATCCTACTACAGTTTTTTGTTTTGTTTTTCTTTTCGACACTTGGTCGTGCTTCAGCTTGAAACATATATGAAAATAGTATAAAATTAAACATCTGTGTATGCTAACACAGATCAGGAGAGTCGTATGCATGGCGTTTAACAGAAATTGCCAAATAACTTTTTCATTGTTTGGACCATTTATACGTCCATTTCATGATATATAAGAATTCCACTGTAAGCGCATCCTTGCCAATATTTAACATCAGTTTTTCCCCCATTTTAGTGGGTATTACAGAATTTTGTATTAGGGCCTTCATGTGCACTTCCTGTGGACTGCTTATGTTGAGCTTACCAGCTCATGAAATAATAAAGATGAATTTTAAAGACAAGTAGCCCAGTAAGGAGCAGGCTCGGGACTTGAACAGGCCCTCTGCAGGAGCAGCCTTCTCCCCGTGCACGCCTCTCACGTGTATCAGCACATGGACTCAGGACCTTCACGTTTTCTCTTGGTCATGTTTTGTAGCTCTCAATGCCAAAGTCCTGCATACATTTCTTAGATTTACTTCTACGTAGCGGATCTTTTATACTGTTCCAAACGCTACCATTTCATAATACTCTCCGATTATTCCTTGCAATTACATAAAACCTAATTGATCTGCATAAGTTGATCTTCTGTCCTGGTTGCTGGCTGAATTTGCTTTTCCATTCAGTTTGGCTTGTGGAGACCTTATAGGGTTTGCATGTCGCTTATGGATCCGCCAGGTCTAACGTCTCTCCTCACCTCCTGCTTCTTAGTTTTCCTTCTTGTCCTGCTGCAGTTACTGTGGGGAGTTGAGTGCTAAATAAATTTTGCAGTCTTGGGATAAACGCTCTTACACATGCGTCCATCGGTGTTGGGAATGTTTTCTTAAGGGTTTCTAAAGTTCATGTGGAAAATTGCTGTGAAGTTTTGTTTTCCTGGAGTGTCCCTGTTGGATTTTTAAAATCAGCTATGCAGGTGGAATAGAGGAGTAGAAAAGTGTTTCCTTTCTGTTTCTTGAAAGAGTTTGTGTAAAATTGTGTATTTCTTTCTTAATGTTTGATAGAATTAAAAAGAAAGGCACCTTTCTTGATATTTTTGCTTTTGTGGATTTTGGTTTATTAATTCAGTTTCTTTAATGAATTTAGTTATTAATATTTTCAACTTCTTTTGTGTCAATCTTGATAATGTTTTCTCAGGGAGTTTATTTTTTTCTAACTTATAAACTGCCTTGCCACAAAGTTTTTTATAATACTCTCTTTAATACTTGTAATATCTTTAGTGATAGCCCTTCTACTTGTTCCTAATACTGATAAGATGACTTTTTAATCTCTTTTTTTTTCTTTGAGTTTATTGGTACCTTTTAGGGATACAGTACAATTACATTCATTGTTGGGATCTTGCACCTCTACACGACAGGTCTTGGTTCTCATTTTTTCCCCTTGTCCCCGCCCTCCCTTCACCCCCTCCTCCCCTCCCCATCTACAAACACTTTATTTCCATCTTTTCATTATCTCACATTTTTTCTTTTCCCTTATTACCCTTCTCCTACACATCCCACCTTCCCTACACCTTTAGCTCCTTTCCTTTTTAATCTCTTTTTTGGCTAATATTTATGTATTTATTGTTTTCTGAGACAGGGTCCAGCTATGTAGTCCAGGCGGCCTTAAATTATATAACCTAGGCTGATCTCGAACTCATGGTAATCCTCCTGCCTCAGCCTCCCAAGTGCTGGGTAAGGTGTGCTCCATCACACCCAGCTAATTGATATTTTTAATCATTTGTAAGAACCAGTTTTGAGTTTTATTGACTTCCTTTTTCTACTTCATTAATTTGTGCTGTCGTGTTAATTTATTTACTTCTATTTATTTTGCATTGAACTTTTCTAGGTTAAAGGTAGTTTAGTTTAGGTCACTAACTTTAAATACTTCTTATTTTCTAACATATGTTCTTAAAAGTTATCAATTTTTCTTTAAGCAGTGCATTCCCTGCACCCCACAAATTTTGCGAGCTTGTATTTTTATTCTTTCGGTTCAGAATATTTTCTTATTTCTTTTGTGATTTGTTTTCTCTATGGGTTCTTTAGAAGAGTGTTGCTTAATTTTCAAATACTGGGAGATTTCCTAGCATGTGTGCCACTGATTTCTGAATGAATACTGCTTTGGTCAGACAGCTGCTAACCATGGCGATTTTCATCCTTGACACCCATTGTGACTTGTGCAGTGACCCAGGATGTGGTCCATCTTTTTGAACATCTCAAGTGCTCCTAAAAAGAACATGGGTTCTGTGGACGTTGGGTGTAACGTTCTGGAAATGTCAGATGTTCATTTGGTTAATGGTGCTGCTCAAACGTTTTATATGTCTCTACTGAGTTTTATTTATTTACTTTTTCCATTGAGTTTATCGGTACACTGTAGGTACACAGTACAGTTACATTCATCGTTAGGATCTTGTACCTTCTTGGTTCTTACTTTTTCCCCATTCCCCTGCCCTCCCTTCATCCCCCGACACCCTCCTTATTTACAAAGACTTTGCTGAATAGTTTCTCTGGTGTGAAAAACTGAAAGTGTAAATAAGGATTCAAATGTATAATTGATAATGTGAAATAGGCAGCAAAGGGCTAAAGGAGTAGGGGAAGAGGGAGGGGTGGGGGAAAGCAAAGAAGGGAAAAGAAAAGATAACAAGAAAAGAAAAAAAATGGAAACAAACTTTACGAGTTTTAAACTTGTTCCATCAATCACCAAGAAAGAGGTGTTGAAATCTATAAATGTAACCACTAGTTTTTCTATTTCTCCCATTCTGTCAGTTTTTAATGGGTGTAGCTTGAAGTTCTCTTGAAATTTCTCTTAATTCATAGTCTCCCTTTTCTTTTTCCCCTCCCTTTAAATGGCATTTCTTTGCTGAAGAAACTGCATTATTCGTTCTGGCTTTTATGAACTGGTTCCCGCAGGACCCTGTGATACCTTCCCAAACCCTCTGCGTTTCTTGTGAAGGGTCATGTTTGCATCTGTACCTTTGGGCTGCAGTTTGGCTTTTTAGAAATATTATCTCTTAGGCCATGTTTATAAGTTTGTGGCTTTAAGTTAATTAAGGCTTATAGAATGGGATCTTCTAATTCTTTTATTGCTTTTTCATTAATTACATGGAGCATTTCTAAAAACAGACTTGTTGATGACTTGGTCACTCCACGGGAAAGGCTGGGAAATAGCTGATTCTCCCCATTTGCTTAGTTTCAAAAAGAGTAAGTGGGGGGCCGAGTGGAGAGCACAGAGGCAGAGCACACACCCAGCACCCCAAAAGTAAGTAAATCCAAAGCGAAATGAATGGGTTCTCTCTTATCTCCTAAATCAACCTAGGTGCTCTGTGTGCACATACGTCACTGTGACTTTCTGCTGTAAAGCTGTGATGTCGCTTCATCTCCTAAGCTGGGTGTTATTATCACTGCTCAGACCCCCGTTTTACCCAGCAGGACCTCCTGGGGGATCTCCGATTCCTCCAACCAGCCTGTGCATTGATTTACTTGAGGATCTTTAAAAAATACTGATACCGGAGGGTGTGCCTCACAGCTCTGAGTGAATGAAACCTTCTAATTTAAGTCTCCTCTAGTAGCTGGGCGTGGCTGGGTGTGGCGGAACACTCCTGTAACCTCAGCACTCAGGAGGCTGAGGCAGGAGGATTGCCATGAGTTTGAGTCCCAGCCTGGGCTAAACAGTGAAACCCTGTCTGAAAAAACCAAACCAAACCAAAACCAACAACAACAATAAAAATCTCTAGTGATTTTAATGCAGTCAAATTAGAGAATCACTGAGGTAATAGTTTTGGTATGACTTTCTGATCCTGTAGCTCATAATGTGATGTCCGAAAGCAGTTGTAGATTTTTTTCTTTGTAGTTTTCTTTCCCTTAACATATTTGCCAGTAGGGGTATATATTAAATTGCTGTGTTTTATTTTCAGTTTTGTGGTTGTTTGAGACAGTGTCCCATTATGTAGTTCAGGCTAGATTTGAATTCACTGTGTATGTAGCCCAGGGTGGCCTCAAACTCACAGTGATCCTCCTGCCTCAGCCTTCCAAATGCTGGGATTTTAGGCACGTGCCCCCATGCCCAGCTAAATTGCCGTGTTTTAGTCTCGTGGCAATGTTTTTTCTCTGCATGGTGACGTCACAGAGTTGATACCCAGCTAGATTCAACTTGTTTCATTTTACTTTTGATTTGAAGTTGTTTTAAATGTTTTTATAATTATGTAGAATATGTGCACGATTCCAAAGTGAAATTTAAAAATACATGTTGAGATGTCTCGCGAACACCCTTGGGTCCTACACTTTGTTTTCTCCTTCTTTCGGTAAATGTTTTTTTTTTGTTTGTTTTTCATTTATCCTTCTTTTAAAAAGATATCACACGCCCTTCCACTTTTTAGCCAAGAACACAGGCTTTTCTCCATATGGGCTCTGTCTTCACAGCTCCCTGGTGCCTGTCTTTCAGGGGCTGGAGAAACTAGTTAGTCTGAGTGGCGTCTGGGGAGGAGGAGGATGAACCCTTTGAGCCTCAATCTGAACAGCGCCTCCCAGCGTCAAGCTGCTGCCCGCCTGAGTTGGGACAGCAGGGCTCTCTCTCCCTCTTTTGCAGCAGAGACCACACCCGTGGGTGTTTCACTCCTCGAATACTACTTAAAAATCCCACGTTTTTGTGACACTCATGCGGCAGGATCCTACTTGTCGGGAAGCAGGTGTAGGAAGATATTCGCTACACCAGATCCCCTCCCTCCCGGGTAACTCCCCACGGATGTTTTGCGCATTTCGAAGCCGAACTCGCCTTTTCTTTTCTTCTGCAGTCACAGGGTTGGATCGGTGGGGTGCGGTGGTGGCTACCGGCGTGGTCTGCACGTTCTACTGCACGCTGGTACGTATGTCAAGAGCACCATTTCCACCTTGCTCTACCTAGGAACTGCAAAATGGAACTTTCTAGCTCTTCCGAGCTGTACAATGGGCTGCTCACACCTATTCATTCTCCTGCCCCTGACCTCCCCCATGTGTCTTTATCTGGGAGGAATATTTGGTGTGGGGTCAAACGGGACCTTGGTAGAACACAAGTCCTAACTGAACTTTGTTGCTTTCACCAGAATCATGACCTTGGTCCCTGGCCTCAGTTCCTGGCCCATCCATGCTGTGGCAAGGTTATTAGACTTGTGCTCCGGTAATTCCTCAGCACAGAAGCCTGGGATTTCTTCCTGCTGCTTATAGCCAGGAGCAACAACGTATGGAAAAACCATGTGGCCGGACATGGATAGTAGTACCAGGGGAGGATTTTCAACAGAGGTGTGGCTGTCACGGGATCTTTGATAGTCTAGATGTTAGCTGTGTAGTCACTGGATCCTGTGAAAGACAGGGACCCCAGTCACGGGGACGCTTGGGCCTTTGTGGGTGGCTGGTATAGAGCAGTTTAGGATCTCAGCAGCTGCTGTGACTACCTGAGCGCATGCTGATGGAGTATCGGTCCCACCTGTAGGTGCAATCTGACGTTGGCTTGTGCAGTTCGACCGCAGGTTGCTTAGCAGTCTCCCGCCCACTTCCTCTTTCCTCCAGTGCTTGTGTGTGGCACCTTCCACAGGCCACGGAGTCTGACCCCACCTGCTTTGGCCCAGGCTGTTTCCTTTGCTGGAAGGACCTTCATCCTGGCCTTTGATTACACTTGAGGGCTCAGTTTAAATATCTCCTTTGTCAACCTCTCCCAACCTGATCGTCTCTCTTGAGTGCATTTCTCAGCCAAGGTCCGGTTTTCGACATTTTTATCCAGCACGGTGGATACGCGTGCGGACTCCTAAACATGTCTGATAGACGCATTAATCCCAGTGCCCTCTCTTTTCAAAGGGCGGTCTCAAGGCGGTGGTCTGGACAGATGTTTTTCAAGTGGGCATCATGGTGGCTGGATTCGCATCTGTGATTATCCAGGCCGCACTAATTCAAGGTGGCATCGGCAGGATCTTAAACGATGCCTACAGTGGTGGCAGATTAAACTTCTGGAAGTAAGTTGTTCTCCACCCCCCGGTTAAAGGACCCAATTTCTATTTTCTGTGTAAAAAGAATCCCTTTTGAAATAGTGGGTTTATATCAGAAAATAGCCAGCCACAGAAGACAGAAGCTGGGCGGGTCGTTGTGGAATGGGTGGGTCCCTGCCAGTTTTTCTTCGGGGTTTGAGCTGGCAGACGTTTCTTAACTCCATGGCTTCAGGATGGGGCTTCCACCCGAGAAGGGACTAGGAGCAAAGAAGCATTTTCTTCCAAAAATTAGCCTAGCACAGGTTGGAATGTGGGGTAGGATGATAAGGGAAGAGATTTTAGAAAGATGAGAAAATAAAGTCTCTTAAGAGAAAAACACCGAAAGACTCTTGATTCCATTTGACAATTCTGTGTTTCAGGCAATCTGCAGGTTGCTCTCTTGATGCTACCCTGGCAATAGGCGTATTACGTGTAGTATTAATATAGTATATGATCGTTACATGTTATTATTTCTCTTACATATACCTGTATACTAGTTCCAGAAAATTGACTAGAAAAGTTATGATTGATGTTCACAGTGACAGCATAACACAACATATAATACAATACAGCTTAAGTAGCTGTTTAGTTCTCCTAAAAGAAAAAAAATGGAAAAACTAGATTATTTCACCCCAAACATTTCATAAAATTTAAAGGGAGTTTTTAAAGACAATCCCCCCTTTTGAATCGCTAGTGTCAGGCTTGTGTATCCCACTCAGCGTGGGAATGGGCTCACTTTGGCCTGGACCAGCTCTTTTCTTCTTTGAGTAGCCTTTCACTGAGATAGACAGTCGGAAATTACTGGCCAGAAGAAGGAAAACCACAGTGCCACTTTCCAGGCTCTTTCCAGGCCTTCTGAAAATTGGCACCAACGTTTGAGAAAAGCTGTTTCAAAAATGGAGTTAATATGTTAGTTTATGGAAATCAATTTTGTTGAACCAAATTAACCATTTTAATAATTTTTCCATGACCCCAAGATTCAAGTCTGCAGGAAGACAGCCCCAACTTGGCCTCCCTTGGACCCTGCTCCATTCTGTGCCCAGTGCAGAGCCACTGACAGTACTTAATGGGGTGGTGACACAGTTTTCCCGGATTGCTTTTACTGTGAAAGTGGAGAAATGGATACCACGAATCAGAAACATCAATAGTTTCTTAGGAGATCTTGATTATTTTCATGTCTCTTCCTAGAATGCCAGGCTGTGGGGAGAAGGTATGAAACCAGTCATTTCTCTACAGGGTCACTCATTTTATACGAAGGACATGCTGGGCGTGGTGGCGCACGCCTGTAATCTCAGCACTTGGGAGGCTGAGGCATGAGGATCGCTGTGAGTTTGAGACCACCCGGGCTATATAGTGAGTTCCAGGTCAGTCTCAACTACACAGTGAGACCGTGTCTCCAAACACTCCCCCAAACAAACGCAAACAAACAATACACACATTCCGGCAATGAAGCTGTAGCTTATACATCATAAGAGACTTCACAAAATAAAAGTAGATATTTTTATGACCTTAACTTTGAAGGTTACAAACCACAGAGTAATAATGAGAAGCCTTATCATGTTTCAGAGTTTTCAAGAGTATCCTTTCTTTTCCTAAAATGTTTTGAGAATATGGAAAATGAAATAGCTGCTGTGGTTGAGATAACCGAAGACTGAAACTACTGAATTAAGTCTTGTAGCTCTTATTCCCTTCTGATAGCCCACTGAATATTTTTGGCTCTTGACTTCCATTAGCTAATATTATAATAGTTGCTTAATGGGCAAAAGAACCAATACTCTCGAGCTTCTTAGATTTTGATACTAAATGTTAGGTAACTTTCTGTAGAAATAGCTGTACTTAAATATATGCAAAATCACAATATTTTACTCAACTGATTCCAAATACAAGATTTGGAGAATTTTACAATTTTTAGAGCGTGTTTTAGCTTTGCCATCCCTGAGACACAATATCCAATAACCAGAGCTGCAAGAGAGAGAGGTTCTACGGGCTCATGTTTTAAGGGGATCAAGTCCTCGGTCAGCTGCATCTAAGGCAGGGCCATCATGGCAGAAGGGTCTGGTGGGGCAGAGCTGCTTCGCTCACGGCGTCTGGGAGGCAGAGCGGGGAGCAGTGCCGGAGAGAAGGGGTGGGGGACCGGTACCTCAAAGACCCACCCAGAAGTGCACCCCCCAGCCCTTCGAAGGCCTCAAGCCAGTCAGATTAACGCATTCGAGCTTAACCACCATAGTGGTTCATTTCTCAGTTTTCAAAGTTCATGTTATATGTCAGAGCTGAGCAGCTTGCTTCCTTCCTAGGTAGTATATTAAGAGAGGTTAAGGGTTATGTGAAACACGAAAGTTGAGCTTTCTTTGTAACAATATTTTGGAATTAAGGTACGTGTCACAAAGTGGTTTTAAACTACCAGTATTTAGCTTGTGCACACAGCATTTTAGGGAAACACAATTATAACAACATATGGTAATTTTAGCAAGTGAAAAATCTTTAAACTGTGCTAATTGACTTCTTTTTTAATTTATTTTCACAAGTAAGTTCAATTCTTTTGCTTCTTGAGCTTGAATTTGAATTAGAATTACAGCTCTACATGTGCTAGGAGAAGAATTGTAGAAATAAAGTGTGTTAATTTACTATTCACGTCAGTACCATGTTGGTTGCTATGACGCACTAATCCCTTCCCTCTCCATTACAACTTGGTGGATTGCTTAACAAGTTTTCCAAAACCATGGGAGAACAGTTTCTCTAAATGCTCAGAATCATTACAGTGCTAATTTTCCCTCAGTCCCATCTAGAATTTCGAAATCTCTGAAAATGACAATTGTTATTTCAATGATCTTGAGTTAGAAATAGTCTTATATTTTATACTATTTAGTTTTCTACAAACATATCTGTCTATAGGTATATATTGCTTATGTTGGAAAGTACTCTAGGAGGATTTTTCTCTAGTCTTCGGTCAATAATTCGGGTTTGTTTTTGTTTCTTTTCATTTAGTTTTAACCCTAACCCTTTGCAAAGACACACATTCTGGACGATTATTATAGGAGGGACCTTCACGTGGACCAGCATCTATGGAGTCAACCAGTCCCAAGTGCAGAGATACATTGCCTGCAAAAGTAGATTCCAGGCAAAACTGTAAGCCAAACCACAGTGCGTGGATCATCAACAGCTGTTAGGGGCCCTTGTGAGACCTCCATAGTCCGATTCAGCTCAAGTTCAAGTCTTTTGTGTCAAGCAATTCCAAGAGATAAATGGTCTGCTTTGTTAAAAGGGACTAGACAGAGCAAAGTGACACTGTATGTTTTAAATCAGACATTTGAAAATATTTATACGAATTATTAAGTAAAACAACTTTGTCAAATAAATAAGCAGTTAAAGGATCTATGGGAGATTTAAAAAATATGAGGAGGGCTTGGGGTTTAGCTGGATGGCAGAGCACTTGCCTGATATTTATGAGGCTCTCAGCAGTTCAGAAATACAAGTATGTAGGGCTCTGTCATGGTGGAGCTGAACATCAAATCAGGAAAAGATGTGTGAATGTGTGAAGAGTGAAAGAGCACCGGAGAGATGCAGCAGCTCAGTGAAGCGGTGATAGAGGAGATGTTCCCGAGCAGACACAGTGGCTCAGATCTGTGTGCAGCCTCAGTCTTGAGTACAGAATGCTGCTGTAATGCTTGCTACCTGACTTCTCCTGGACAAATGGTTGGCCTCTCTGAACCCCAGTTTCTAAACTCGTGAAATGAATGTAAGAAATACTTTATGTCACGTAAGAAGTTTTAGAAAGCACCACATTTGGTACACATGTAGTAGAGATTTACTAAGTGGTAATTCCTTTTCCCATTTTAAGTGTGTGATGGATGTGAAGGCAGAACATAGATGAGAGACTCCTGTTTACCTGGCAGAAGAGACATAAGGGATGATTGCAGTGAGGGCAGCTGGAGAGGGTTGGATCGTAGTGCGGGCAGGCACATGGAAGGGAGACTTGGACAAAAGCAGAGGGACTGAGGCCAGCATGGGCAGGGACACTCAAGTCCATCTTGATTTGAGAAAAAAGTATGGGACAGTGAGTGTGTTTTTTTTTTTTTCCTGTGGAGGCCTCAGAGCAGCTTGCTGACTTCTGGCTCCTGTGATCAGTAAGACGGACTTGCTTGCATGCATTTAGGGGCATTAAACTCTAAATAGATTGAACAGGAGTGATTAGGGTGGGAGAAAGTGCAAATTCTATTCCTGTTCAAAGAAAATTATAAAAATATTGTGATTTGCTATTATATCAGAACTCAAAATATTGAGTGTAAATTGGGTTAGAAACTAATTCTTTAGAAAATGCCCCAATGGAAGGTCAATATTAATTTGGATATACTAGCTGGGTATAGAATTACACAAAATGAGCTTGGAAGTTCTGATATTTTAAGATAGTTGGAAGGACTATAATTTATATAAGCAGTGGTATAAAGGACTTTCATTTTTGTTTTTGGTGCCAGGGATCAAACTTGGGCCCTTGTGCCTGAAAGGTGGGCAGTGGAACCTCTGAGCCAAATCCCTGGCCCTTGTATGGGACTTTTAAATCTATACTAGAGTGAGCCTTCCCCCAAAGCCATCATACAGAATCTTCAGTTTCTTTGAGAATACGAAACTCAACTTCTGCCTCAATTTTGTAGCTAAATTGGTTCCTTCAGAATGGCCCAGTGGGTCTCTGGAACAAGATAGATTACCGAACCCAGGGGACCTGCTTTCACCAGCTCACTATTGCTCATCCTGCAGAAACCATGCGTCCCTGCCAAATGCCAGAACTTACTGCAGTCAGTTGACAAGGGACAGTACCAGATGCTCGTAAGTGGTCTGTCTGAACAGCACTGAAGTCTAATAGAACAATGTGTTTTTTGAGTGTTAAATTCAGACATCATGAGGAAGGTGGTGAGCAAGAGAACACCTGAGCACAATTTCCCCATCTGGAGATGAGATACCGGTGCTACCCTGGTTTTAGGCAATAAAGAGATGTGGTGATATTAGTGCAAGGGAAGAGCCTAGTGGTCTGTCATTTGGCATCTGCTGCAGGAGGTGGCTGTGGTTGTCCTGGAAACAGACTCTGCGATAGAGGCTGGTACTTGACTGTGTGCCGTTTCCCTTGGTCTTGTAACTCTGGGATTTGGGCTTTGTTGTCCCTAAGAGTAAGTGCAGACAGAAACTGAGGATCAGAGAGTCTAAGTACTTGCTCACAGCCATGTCTTGGAGAACCAGGACTTACACCCAGCGCTGAGTCCAGTGCTGTTTCCCAAACATCCTGCGAAAAGCCCAGAGCGGATGTCATCATGCCTAGCAGGGTGTGACAAGACACTAGTGTGGGGAATACAGTCTGTGTCTTACACTTCCTGGGAGGTCTTACAAACCACACTGAAGCCTGTTTGGTGAGTTGCTATGTAGATCCTAATCGTGTTTAGCAGTTTAGGAAAATGAGTAATAGTCACTGCTCCATTCATTGTGAAAATACTTCCTGACAAGGAGACCGGAAGTAATGAAGTTAGATGCCAAGAAAAAACTACTGGTGCCTACGAGATTCCAGCCAGAAGGACGCGCACTTTCAGCAGGAAAACACCATCTGTTGTGAATATTATCAAATACCTTATTGACCGACATCATAAGCAGATTAGAATAGAATGAAAAATAGCATTTTGGATAACCAAAAGATAATGTGCATTTATCGAATGTAATCACTTTTGCTGTCTCTTCTTCTCTAGGTCTCTCTATGTCAATCTTGTGGGACTCTGGGCGATCCTCACCTGCTCAGTGTTTTGTGGGCTCGCCCTGTACTCCAGGTACCGTGACTGCGACCCCTGGACAGCCAAGAAGGTGTCTGCGGAAGACCAGGTTTGGTGCTGTGTCTTTCTTACGGGGCGTCATGACGCTCAGAGAACCGTGTTCGTGCAGGGCCGCAGCCAGTGGCCACAAGCGAGTCACTTTCATGTCTGTGAAGCATGTGGCAGAAATTGATTTTAGCACATAGAGCATGGATGAAGAAGGCTGGGGATGCAGCTCAGTGGTTCTGCCACCTGCCTCACAAGCACGAGGTCTGAGCTTGATCCCCAGTACCAAAAAATAAAAATAAAACAGAAGGAAGAGCACTGTGTCTAAAACTAAAACACTGGAGCACCTAGAAAATGTCAAGCCAGGTATGAAGTAGAAACCACAGTGCTGGGGGTGGAAATACAGACACCATTTAAAAAACGACACACGAACCGTGGTACTGGAGAGCGTTTGGGAACTTGTTAAGCCGCTGAGCAATGAGTGATGTGTGTTTTAGTCCATAAATGGCAGAGAGACGGCTCTAACAAGTAAGCGTGGACCGAGGGCCAACCACGCGGTGAGATTCTGTGCCGAGAGATCTCTGTGTCTCATCCCATCCTCACAACCCTGCAGCCCTAATTTATAGATGATGAAATGAATTACAGAGGTTTTCGGACCGACCCAGGGCTACTGTGCACGTGTGTGGAACGATTGTGAGCACCATCCATTCCTTACCATGTGCCAGGCACTGTCCTGGGCACTTTATGTGTATTTTAATTTTCAGTTTTTCATACTCACCTGCACAGGGGTTACGTAGGGTCCCCAGCTAGTAGCCCGCAGCCAGGAATCAAATCCGCTAGCAGCAGGCTGCCCCAGGCCTGTGGACCTGTGTGCCGTGCGTGGTCTTTCAAGAGGTGTAGCTAGAATTCAAATCCATGGCTACCCGACCCCGAAAACTGCATCCTCACCTAAATTATTTTCTAAGATCTGCTGGTCATTCAAACAATCCAAGGCCTGCTAGAACAAAGGCAGATCTCTGTGCAAGGGAATCACACACACCGCCCTGCCCCATACATCTCTGTGGCTTAGGAAAAGAGATTTTCTGCTACAGTCTGCTGGGATAAAGCAGCAAGAAAGCAGAAAGCGCAAGAGAGCAGGGCTGGTGTCTAGGTGTAGTTTTGCGGCTGTTCCACCTCGTTGATTCTGTCTGTACTTCTTATTTTGATGTGGTACATTTGCTGTGATTGATAAACCCATAACGATAAATTATTATGAAGTAAAGTTTACATTATGATTGACTTTTGTGAGTTTGGCCAAATGTATGGTGTCACAGACTCACTATTACAGTGTCATACAGAATAATTTCATGGCCCTAAAATCCCCTGTGCTTCACCTATGTGTCCCACATACATTTTCTTTTTTCTTTTTGTTTTTGTTTTCTTGTTTTTTGAGACAGGGTCTCACTATGTAGTGAGACTGACCTGGAACTCACTGTGTAGCCCAGGCTGGTTTCCAACTCACAGCGATCCTCCTGCCTCAGCCTCCCGAGGGCTGGGATTACAGGCGTGCACCACCACGCCCGGCTCCCATGTACATTTTCTACCAATCCCTGTCCTTTACCGTGTCCGCAGTGTTACCTTTTCCAGAATGTCAGCTAGCTGCTTAGATTAACAACAGGCTATTTTTTCCATGTATTTTCACGGTTTAATGACACACTTTTTATACGTATTTAAACATTTTTAATTGACATACAAAGTATACATTCTCCTGGGGTACAGTGTGATGTTTCTTTTAAAATTGGCTACGAGAGATTTTTGAGAAAGCTGACAGGTTTTGGATCTTAGTACAATGTGAATGATGGGAACTTTACTTTTGTTTATGTGTGAAATACTGTTTCAATTTTTTTTAATGGTGCCAAAAGTTTATATGAAAAGTGAGGGTCCGAAGGAGTATGGGAGAAATCGGCTCTGCAGAGCAAACCTGGGCAGAACAAGAGAAAAAGAAGAGAAAAGCAAAAAAGGAAGTACACACTGTGTCTGGGAATGCAGTGTGGGCTCCTGTGGGAAGTCACTGTAGCCACAGACCGTGGGAGAGCTGTTTCAAGTTAAACTTTGAAAATATTTTGGGAAAGTTCAGTTGCTCAGGGAGTTGGCCGCGAAGCTGACAGGATATAGGCCTTTCCTTCTTGCTCAGTGGGAGCTGTAATCGGTAACGCCTCCATGCAAAAGAGGAGACTTTGCAGGAAGGTTTGTCTACTTTCTTTTCTGCAGAAGTTAACACTGCAGAAAGATTATACAGTCTGTGGTCACTTACATGCCCGTCATTGTTTGGTGTTTGTTTTTAAAAAACATAAATATGGCCAACGAAGTTGGTGTCAGGAACTCTCTGAAAAGAGGCCAATTTCAAAAGATTTCCCGAGCTACTTTTCCATCCATGACTGTGTTTTACACTATGGATAACTGAAATTACATCTTTTACTCTTGGATAGTGATTGGAATTTTTTTTGGATAGCGATTGAAATTTTAAAAATGGTCTAGAATCACAAGTAGAGAGGGTGCTTCTTATTTAAGCAAAGAGGTTTTTCAAAAGTCCCTTAAAAATGCTTCACTATTGCATAGAAAAGTGCTACTTTTATTGAGTATTTACTATATCACATATTCTGTACTGAAAGTCTTTCATAGCTTAGATGAGGGAACTTACAGCTCAGAGGAATGAAGTAACCAAAGCCATACCTGTCTGAATCCAAAGCCTGTTTACTTAGCTATTGAGCTGTTTGTTTGAATGTGAGCAATGAAAGACTTCACTTTTAGGTATTGAGAAATTCCCTTTCAGTGGAGTAGCTCCTTTCACTTGTAGAGGAACAGAGATCTTAGATAATCCGGAATTAGTTGACTTTATTCAACAGCAAATAGCACTTACGTGTCCATTTTGGAATTTTTCAGCTCATGCCTTATTTGGTACTGGACATTTTTCGAGATTATCCCGGAGTTCCTGGGCTTTTTGTGGCCTGTGCTTACAGCGGGACCTTAAGGTATGGACTGTGTGAGTCTGAGCCCTCCGCCCTTCCCTTCCCTCCAGGGATCTGTCTTTCCTTGCTGGTTGCTCTGGGGATGGAGCTGGGTACTGGACGCAGCAGAGTTGGGTCAAAGCAGGCAAACACTGGCCAGGTCCTCTCTGTCCCTCTGACTCTTTCCTAGAGGGCGCTGGCTTCCTGCTGTCCTCAGGCTGCCTGCTGCAGCGTCCTGTCCTGGGAAGTGACTGCAGTGACAGCCCGGACGCCTCTGCATGGGCTCTGGTTCTGAGAACCTGCCTGACTCAGCTGTTCCATCAGACGGCTGCAGAGTGCTTTCCCCCCAGCCCCTGGGCTCGCTCCCCGTGCCATCGCATACCCTGAGGGCCGCAGTGGTGCCCCCATGGCAGCTCGAGGTGCATGGCCCCGTCCTGCCCTCCCGCAGGGGGCGTCTTCTCTTTCTGCGGGAATCTCAGGTTAGCAGCCCTCCCGTCATCACCCCCACCAAACAAACAGAAATCCCCTCTGTGATTTGGGGAGTGTTTTTATTCTCAAGGTGCCGCTGCTTCCTGTCTGGAAAGATGGTATGTCTTTCTCTTTATCTCAGGCTTCTTTTGCTTTCCTCAGTGTTTTCTCTACATGCTTGGCGTAGGGATCCTATACATGTTTGGTTGGGTGCCTGCTGATGTACTGTGCTATAAAGTTGTCATTTCTATGAGTTGATTGTGGGTAGCATGGGCACCCTTACATTGACATTGGTCTTGCAAGTCTGCCTACTCACCTATGGATATCTGAAATTACATCTTTTACTCTTGGATAGTGACTGGAGTTTTTTTGGGATAGTGACTGAAATATAAAAAATGGCCTGGAGTCACAAGTAGGTCTGTTTTATTTGGCTATTGTTTTTGTTTTTTGAGGCAGGGTCTGGCTGTGTAGTTAGTACAGGTTGGCCTGGAATCACTACATGGCCCAGGCTGGTCTTGGATTTGCCTTGCTCTTCCTGCCTCAGCCTCCCGAGTGCTGAGATCACAGGCGTGCGCCTCCACTTCAAGCTATTTTTTCATAGCGCAGTATCTAAAAAAACCAAAAAAAACCCCTTTACTTTAATACTTAAAGCAGCAGCCAGTTTAAGACACACATGTGGCTAAAGCATAATCAACTGGAAAATTAGAATTTGGTCTGTTACACATTGAATGATATACTGTTGTCAAAAGCAAATTGTATTTCATCATTGTCCTTCTTCCTGTGTTTCTATAGCTTGGCCTTACCAACTCATGCGGTACACGTTAGTGAGGATTCAGAAAAGTACTGTTCGTGGCACATGCTGCTGAGGACTTCCGGCAGTCCTTTCAATGCATAAAGAAAAATGTGCTTTAAAGTCCTGTAATATGATGATAATAATAGTATAATAGCGTACATCTTTATGGGCACAGAGGACTAACTGGGCAATAGGAGGGACATTAGTGCAGCCTCTTCCGCGACTACGTTTCCCTGTGGCTGCGCTCTGAATCGTTCTTGATAACCACTTCCAAAAAGAAGATGCTTTGGGGCCAGGGATTTAGCTCAGTGGTTTCATCGCCTTCTTTGTAAGCACAAGGACCTGAGTTCAATCCTCAGTACTGAAAAAAAAAAGAAGATGCTTTGGTCATTAAGAACAACGGAAATCCGGTTACATTTTAGAAGTTTCCATTTGCTTCCTGCTTCCTCGTTCCCACAACAAGTATTATTAAAGCTAAACTATTATTATTCCTGCTTTGTGCCCCCAGCACAGTGTCCTCCAGTATTAACGCATTGGCCGCAGTGACGGTGGAAGATCTCATCAGACCCTACTTCCGGTCGCTCTCAGAGAGGTCTCTCTCCTGGATTTCCCAAGGAATGAGTAAGCTCTGTTCACAACTCCCCTCTTGCTCAGAGAGGTGGCTTCTTTCGAGACACTGGAAGTTCTCTTTCCCTGACAAAGCATAAAGTACGTCCCAGTGTGAATGCATCCGCATACGTGTGCCCACAGCTTAGGAGCTCTGGCACTCAAGAGCCTGAGGCAGGAGGATCACCGAGTGAGGCCAGGTGGCCTGCATAGTGAGTTCAAGGCCAGCCTGACATACGTAGTGAGACCCTGTCTCCAAAATGAGAAGAAAAAATGTCATTGTCAGTGGGCCACGAAGGACAGTTTCTAGGACTTTCTAACATAGATAAGATTTTCATTCATTTGAAGCAGTCTCTGAAATCATTACATGGAGGTGTAGATCTTGGACAAGAACATGACAGTTTGAGTATTTGTTTCATAATTTTGTGTATTAAACCATAGCAGTGACGGTTCATGACCTACTAAGTGGGGGAGAATCAAGCTAAACACAGCAAAAAAGGTTTAGGTTTTTAAAAATTTCAAGTACAGTAAGTTTATTTACCCACTGTACTTGACAAAGGTGTGGATGCTACTGTGAATAAAATAGGAATAACATAATTTAAGGAGCACACTACTTCCATGATGAAGATTTTTCCATTCTTCATTCCTATACTTTGAATTTTGAGCATTGGAAAAGCCTGTTGACTGATTTAAAGTAATTTTTGCTGAATCCATTTTTTTAAAAAAATAAAAGATGGGGAGCTAATGTTTACTAATTTTAGCTAATTTTTCTAAAGTTAGCTAATTTTTCTGTTTTTGTCTTTTTTTTGGTACTGAGGATCGAACTCAGGACCTTGTGCCTGTGAGGCAAGTGGCGGCACCACTAAGCTAAATCCCCTGCCCAATGTTTACTTAATTTAAAAAAGTAAATGCATGAAAAAAATGGAAAAAAGGTAAAAAGTGAAAGTTACAAGAGGAAATAAAAAATCTCATAATCTGACAAAGGTGGCTTAAGAATTTCTATAAAAAGTTTGGGGAAACAACTTGGGGGAATCAGAAATTGAGCTTGAAGTCCCCTTTTCTGCCAGTTTAATGGGAGGGGTGTGGGGGTTGCTGGACGTGGCGGGTGAAAGCTGAAGTTGGAGGGCTCTGATTTCTGGTGTTTGTTCCTGCCCTCCTTCCTTTTCTCCTGCAGTGGGCTGAGCCTTCCTCCTTAGAGACGTTGGCAGCAGATTACATTAACACAGTGCAGTAGTTCCTCTTGTAAAGCCCCTGCAGTTAACTCCAGGCATTGTTCCCTTACATAACCTGCTCCTAGACCTAACCCTGGGACACGGAATGTGGGCTTTACTTGTTCTCCTTGCGCACTGCCGATTTTGGAGGAAAACGCCTCTTTTTTTTTTTTTTTTTTTTTTTTTTTTTTTTTTT